ACACACAGTACATACAGTATACACACACACTGTACATATAGTATACACACAGTACATGCAGTATACACACAGTACATGCAGTATACACACACATGTTTACACGTGTCCTGTGAAACTGAGCTTTATTTTCACTGTTACACATTTTGTCACATTTAATGTCAGGGTGTGATTTTAGATTCTGAACCAAACCAAATTGTTTTTATTTATTTATTTTCAGGACATGTCACGTTGTCAGATTGATTTTCAGTCGTAGTCTTTAATCAAATGTTCAATCTGCCACATCTGAACACGTGTGGAACTAAAACAGGTGAAAAGTAGGAGATCGTTTTTTAATGAAGTCATAAAACAACAGATTTAATGTAGAATCACAGGAACGAGCTATGACAAGGTGTCGTGGTGATTATTGTGATATTCAAATCATCATTATCAGTTTTAATGTGGCATCAACCTGTGAAATATTCCCGCTGCACTTTATTGACACATAGATAGTATGCAATATCCACAATGATGTCACAAAATCAGACCAATCAGTGAGGAGCTGCTGACCAGACAGGAACGTTCCTAGTGTTTTCACAGGCTGATGATTACAGATCATTGTGTTGTTGAAGAGAACTCACAGTAACTCTGTGTGTATGGTTGAAGTTCTGAGAGCTTGTTGTTTTTCCTTCTCTTCCTGTTACAGACGCCACCGATCAGCTGGAGCACAAAGTGATCGAGTTCTTTGTCAACGCAAAGAAGAACAAACCTGAGTGGAGAGAGGAACAGATGGAGGTCATTAAAAAGGTCAGAAAACACGACTGAAACCAGACCCTAAGTAAACTTGTTCAACAGATGTTTAGATCGTACTCTTCTGCTGAACTATGGTTATTGTGGCCTCATCCTGGCTTCCTTTTAGATTGAAAACTCAGGTTGTGTTTTAGTCTGGACGAACAGAAACAGACTTTTGTTTGTGTGTGCAGGCCACTTACATGAACGTTGGTTGATAGAGACATGCTTTAAAAATGGCAGAAGCAACGCAATAAAATGCCTTAAGTTACAGTGTGAGGAATTTAGTGACATCTAGTGTTGAAGTGTCATGTTGCAGCTGAACACCCCTCCCCCCTCTCCTTCCAAACATGAAGAAGAACCTGTGGCAGCTTCAGTTGTTATAAAAACTCAAAAGGTTTTAGTCTGTCCAGTCTGGACTAATGAAAAAACATGGCGGCCTCTGTAGAGAGTGTCCCCTCCATGTAAATATAAAGTATTTAAATATAAAGGGCCTTTTCTGGGGTAAAGAAAACTACAATTCATACAATTTAGATGAAACGAACTAGTGAAAACATCATGAGGATGATTCTACATTAAATTTCTGACAATAGATCCTTTCACCTGAATCCTACACTGGAGCTTTAAATCTGCAGCGTGGGAGCATTTTGGTTATCGAAGAAGTGACCAGGGCATCATGACAGAAGATGGATATCCAATCTTTTGATCAGTTGTCACTTGGACTCCAAGATGAAGTGATTATGTTTCAGTTGTCAGAGGTTACAGTGACCTTTATATGAATCTAGAAGAAAAAAGTACGTAGAAGTATGTACACACAAACTGCACTTTTTGGCAGAGGCATACAACCTTCGTGTGGTAATTCTGTTTCTTCATATACGACTTCTGTCATGGTGATCAGTCAGCTGATCATTGATTATGTATCTGCAGTGAATGGTGATGTTTTCATTAAAACTCGTGTGCGATCACTTTGTTGTTGTTTCAGGATTATTACAAAGCTCTGGAAGATGCAGATGAAAAAGTTCAGCTGGCCAATCAGATTTATGATCTGGTGAGTAGGAGATGCTTAAAGATGAGTCATTCTGAGGTAGACAACCAACACGTCACACAAACATGGTTATCACAGAACAGGGATGTCAAGATTAACTGATTTTACGATAACCGTGGTTTGATAACGTCACGATTTCATAATTGTAAAAAGTACGATATCTAACTTTGGTGTCCTTCAGAATATGAAGAATGAGGCGTGAACCAGGAAAATACGAAAACTAGTCAACACCTCGCTCCCAAAACAGAACAACTTCCGTCTGTGACCCTTCACAATAAAAGTCCCATACAGATATACTGCTTATGATGACAGGAAACACAAATTCACTGACCAACCTTCCACAATAAGGCAACTAAGTAAAACATCTTAGTTATATATATTCAAGATATATTGTTTGTTCCGTATCTTTTTCCTCCTAAACTATAAATCGTGAAACTGATATTTCCTCTGACAATAATCGTGGCACCAAATTTTCATATCGTGACGTCTCTATTACAGAACATTATACATTTCACACAACATTAGTACATGTTCCGTTTATTCAGCCACAGGAAACATGATGATGATGATGATACAGATGTGGTCTCTAGAAACCTCTGTGCAACAGAGGAAGTTGAACCTGTCAATCATGCTGTCACAGAGGGAGTAGATCTTATTTAAGTGATGCTCTTGGTTCATGTTCCTTCAGGTCGACCGTCATCTGCGCAAACTGGACCAGGAACTGGCCAAGTTCAAGATGGAGCTGGAGGCAGACAACGCCGGCATCACTGAGATCCTGGAGAGACGTGCGTCACTCACAGACTCACAAATGATTGATGTCAAACTTAACTGATAAACACGAGGAAGCAGAAGTTGTTTAACTCGATGTTTTTTTTCTTCTCAGGGTCGTTAGAGATGGACAGTCCGTCTCAACCAGTCAACAACCATCACGTCCACTCTCACACCACCACTGAGAGTAAGTACCAGCCGTCCTGAGTCTGCTGATCAATACTGACATAATCAATCTGATCAGGGATCAGCCACATGACACTGATTTAACATGCTCTTCACATGTATGCTGTGTTTGGGAGCAGAGAGGAAGTACAGCGCTCCGACTCATCACACGACAGAGCACGTTCCAGAGAAGAAGTTTAAATCTGAAGCTCTGCTGTCGACCCTCACGTCAGACGCTTCAAAAGAAAACACGCCAGGTAATACCTGACTTCCACTTGACCTCTGACCTTTACACCGATCTCTGACAAACACGTGAAAGGACAATACATCATAATAAAAATAGCAGTTCTCTCATTTGACGTGTTCACTCTGCCCCCTGCAGGCTGTCGCACCAACAGCACGTCCTCATCCACCAACAACGTGTACAGTGTGAACTCGTCTCAGCCTCTGGCCTCTTACAACCTGAGCTCCCTGCCTGCGGGGCCTGGGGCCGGAGCCGGGGCCATCACCATGGCAGCTGCTCAGGCTGTTCAGGCGACAGCACAGGTTGAGTACCGTTCTCCTCAGAGGTTACATCAGCTGATATCACAAGAGTGCTTCTGGGTTGGACCGGGTCCAACGCTATGTCCTTTGTAATATGTGTTATTAAGACAGTGCTGCTGTGAAGACTCGTCCCTGTGTCTGTCTCTGTGTTGACGTGCGATTGTGGTTCCAGATGAAGGAGGGCAGGAGGACGTCCAGTCTCAAAGCGAGTTACGAAGCCATCAAGAACAACGACTTCCAGCTCGGCAGAGAGTTCTCTCTGTCCCGGGACAGCACTGGATACTCCTCCTCTGCTCTGGCCTCCACTCTCACCCAGACCCTCACCCCCACCACCGCCTCTGACTCCAGGGGGCGCAAGTCCAAGTAAGACCTCCACACCCCCACCTGTACTTTTCATCAGCATGTGTTGAAGTCATCCTGCAGGTTCAGATCTATAAGACACAGAAACATGTCTCTATTCAAATGACCTTTAAATCTGAGTCTTCTGTTTTCCAGAAGCAGCATCAAGTCTTCTAATCATCAGTCGTCTTCATCGTCCTCCTCTTCCTCTCTGTCATCGTGCTCGTCATCGTCAGCGCTGGCCCAGGAGCTTTCCCAGCAGGCCTCAGCGCTACCTGAGGCTGAAGCCAACAGTCAGGTGGACTGGACCTACGACCCCAACGAGCCCCGATACTGCATCTGTAACCAGGTACACACACACAGAGAGAGAGAGAGACA